TCACTGAATGTTTATGTTCCCCCCCCCCCTTTTTTTTTTTTTTTTTTTGATAGTATAATTTTCAAAGTTGTTTTTTAGCTATTTATAGATCATTGAAAATGTCATTTTCTTTATACTTTTTTTGAAAAATGTTGATAAAATAATTTGGATTAGATAAAATGTGTTGAAAATGTAATATAAAATTATAATATCTTTATTTACTATATGTCTATATACTACATATTTCATACATGTCTTTTATTGATTAATAAAAAAATAAACATAATTTAAGGAAACAAATGTACCAGTATTTAAATTTTAAAATTTTAACAAAACTATAAAAATTAAGAAAATCCGCTACATTTTTTTTTACCTAAAATTTATATAATTTTACATTTCTATAGCGGAAGTTTGAAAATTGGAAAAAAAATTTTTCATTTTAGTATAAAACAAGTGTTACATAATTAAACTTCGATAAAATCGGTTATTTCAACGAATTTTCATTAAAATTAAACAATATTAGTTATTAAGTCATCTTTTAAACATTAATCGAAGCAACTTGAAACATTTATTGAGTAGGTACTTAAAATATTATTTTAAGTTTTCATAATTTTTAAATACTTTATTGAAATTTTACAGGTTTTAGGCACTTAAAATTGTCAATTTTTCGAAATTTTAGATTGCAATTTGCTAAAGTTTATTAAGCAATTTGTTTTTACTATACCGATTATCTTTAGAAATATAAACTGATCAATTCGATTTATTTCACTTAAAATAGTTTTTTCCAGAGTAATGGTATTTTGGTTTCAATTTTAAGAGACCAATACAGCAATATCATTGATCCATCTCTATATCTCACCATACTGTTAAGTCTTACCCGATCTAGGAGTTTTGTCTTTTTTTTTTTATTATCATTCTTCAAAATTCGAACTACAGTAAATCTCAAACACAATAAAAAAAAATGTTAAGTGTTGCATGTTTCAATATTTCAATAAAATAACATACCTAGGAAAATAAATAACAAAGCAATAAAAAAGTTTCAAGAACACAGTATGAGCATTTTTAACACCTATAAAACATTGAACTTTTTCCTGAACTTTTACTCGAAAAAATAATGTTACCATTATTTTTCTTTTGTAATGATAAACGTTTATTATAAATCAGATTTGTGGTTGGAAATTATTATTTTCGATTGATTATTTTTATTATTATCATGAAACTTTTTTTTAAAAAAAAAAAAAAACTAAAAAATTTTAATTTTCAATGTTATATTAGTTAAATTATAAATTATTCGTATAAAATAATTACAGGAAGTTTTGTAAAAATAGGATAAAACAAATTTAGAGCTGAAATCATGTTATAGGAAGGCAGTTAATTAAGAAAATAAATAATAATTATAAGAAAGTATACTCATAATATATATCATCAGGCGCAACCTAGTGAAAATACCCGTATGTAATTGGCATTTAGATACTGATAGGTAATTTTATCAACTATCTTATCGGTGGACTTAACATGTATCAATATAAAATATAATACTAAAAAATAAATTATTTGAAATTCTAATTTTTTTTCGATGTGTTTTACGAGAAATTAACGTTGTTTCCGCTAGGCAAATGTGTTTTCAATTTAAATAATTCAATATCTCCCTCCTCGATTCCGAGCTGTTTGTAGGATCTTTTGTTATAATTTATTCATTGAACAATTTATTTTACATAAACAAAACATTAATATGCCTCGACTAGTGATGGTCCGTTTTGTATTCGGTACTAATTAAAAATTAATGTAAATGTTGAATAAAACCGCACATAAATGAATGCATTTCACCCAAATATATTGGTTTCTGGAGAACGGGTTAGTTAAGCGTATTATTTTCATCATTTGATAACACTATAAAAATATATAAATTGGAAAACAAAACAGTGGGTGTAATTTTGTTTATTTTATAGTACACGAATTAAAATGTTAATTGGGCGTGGGTGGGAGAAGTTGACAGTCTAGAAAAATATTATTATATAATGCAAAATATATATATATATAGACTTCCTGTTATGTCTAAGAAATGATTAATCACGCGCGGGCTTGAAAGTCCATCACGTATAGGCCATTCGAATTATCCCTTGGGTGTCGTTTCATGCTCTTCCAAGGGTTCAAAGCTGGGTAAGAATATAATGTGAGGAAAGAATGTCACCGGATACGCACGCGGACGAAACTCATGTCGTCGGTTGATGTTGACGCATGTATAAAAAAAGACAAAAAAAGTAGAGAGAGAAAAGATAGCTATGATACAATGAACGACAGAGAAAAAAAGAAGAAAATAAAAGAAAGAAAAACGAGATCATTTATACCACTGCGAAAGAGGGAGGAAAATCATTCGTGAGAAACATACACAAAACAGATACTTCTCGCTCAATACACTGTTCGCTTTTTTCATTGACTGGAAGACATGTATAGGTACAATGAATCCTCTTTTTGTTTTTCTTTCTTTTTTTTACATCCATTATAATATTGTATTGGTATATACTCTTCGTTCTTTCAACATATCGAAAACTTTAAAAGATTTTTTTTCAAAAATTTATCAACTCATTGCTTTTTATATATTTTAACATTTACGCATCATTATTAGGGAATTCCTTATTTAACTATAGACAATATTTTCTGTATTTTTTAAGTCGATGTAAAAAGATTAATCCGTGTCGACTTGAACTTGTGTATGTTAATTAATTTTTAATTTAATGATATATTTCACATTTTTATGTACCTATATCTCATATACAGATAGGAAAATTTAAATTTTTTACGTAGTTTGTTTTTAATACAATACAATTTTCTACAAATTATGTTCTTATATATTTCTTCTTATTTATTATAATGCACAAGATATATTGATTAATTTAATCTCTTTGGAAACCAAAAATGTCTTCACCAAAATATTTCAAACATTTTTAATTTTATACTTTTAATGTGCATAAAAAAAAAATATCTTGTATTATTTTAATTATTAACTATTAAAGGTTTTCCGTTAGAGACGCATTATAGAACAATAGCGAAAATTAACTTAATATTTAAGTCAGGAATGATAACAAGAGTAATAAATAACTTAAATTAATTATTATAAGTGAACAAAATATGTTAGATAAAATGAATAAAATGTATTACAACATATATTTTATTTTAACGACTGTAAACAAAATTAAAGAGTTATTTGATTTATTTGAGTTAATTGAGTTATTTGACAATACACACATACATACATATATATATGGTTACATATAAACGATTTTATTTTATACATTATGATAATATCGAGGAAAGAAAAAATCTGTAACATTGAATAAAAGAATAATATAAAATATATTTTTATTGATTTAATAACATATGAAAAGAAAATGTAAATTAATTATTAAGGTTTGTTAACGTGTATACAAAAATTGAAAAACGAAAATATTCATGTAATGAAATGTTATATACAATAAAAAATGTTCCCTTGACTTTAGATTGATGCAATACAAAAAAAAAAAAAAATATTAGGTTTAAAAAATTGTTTTCGTGTAAGATACGACGCAGTCGATTAAAAAGAAAAAGTTGAAGACGTATGTGGGTGTTACTACATGAAACTCTCCTGCTGGTTGATAATAATCCCTATGGATGTGCCCATGTAATTCGTTCAAGGAACCATATATATATATATATATAGCCATATAGGAGTAAAGTCCAGTGTCAAACCGGGTAAGTCTCTCGTGCTGATTTCGGTCACGTTCAATTTTTCTCTCACTCCTTCGCCATCCGTACACATACTTTCAATTTTATTCCACTTGTAGTTACACACATACACACACACACACACGAATACAAGAGCGAACGACCCGTGGGAGAAACGATCGGTGGTGGAAGAAAACGCGATGTGGTATAGTGACGATGGAAAGCAAGAAAAATAAGAGAAAAAAGAACCCGTGGAAAATAGATTAAAGTGAGAGATGGACCGATAATTGAACGAGTCCTTCTCCTTTGGGCGTGAGAAGAGAAGCTTTATGTTACTTCTTCTCTTACTCCTCCACCATCTCAGTCATATCGTTTTATTATTGTACACACATACACATATAGAATCATTGCTCCCACACATTGAAACAATAGTTCACTTTCTAATTTTTTTCTGGCCCATCATTCATAATCACATATTTTTCGTATTTGAATTATGATTATAAACTTATTTAAAATTCCATATTTAATAATCATTTCAACAACTATAACGAATAAATACTTTTAACTTTTACTATTTCTTTTCTTAAAAAAAAAGCTATTTATAGTTTTTTTTTTTTTAGCAGTTTTCCGATTGAAACGATAATAATTTCATAATCTTATGTAATTTAAAATGTACGACGTGTGTGTAATAATTTACATCACATTCTACAGTTGCGACGTTGGATATCATTAATATCCAGAATAATGAATTGCTTACTAAGGTGAAAATTTATAATCTTATTATGAATATATTTCTTGCTAAAATCTTTAAGTTAAAACATACAAAAATAAATTGTATTATAATCGATTTCCTCATTTGTTCGCTATATATAAGTATACATACCTATAGATAGATAGATACATCGTAAGAAACCTACATCATGGTTGTTATTTCTTTAATAAAACACAAATAATATATGTGTACATATTTATATTTATCCATAAAATGCTCGTAAACGGTCTGTAGGCTTTTGCTGAGTGTTCATATTATATATAGAACCTACATTTATATATATAATATTTATATGTATGGGTATATACTCGATAAACCATAAACTTGGTGCAAACCTGAGACGATAAAACATTTTTTGAGACGTATGTACCCTCAAATATAAGGGATGGATAAGGAAGTGAGGTGCATTTAATCAAGTCTCGAATACGCTTTTATATCGTTTCGTCGTATCGAATTTCTTCAAAAGATTTCCATTCCTATAGGCTATATTATTTGTAGATGTGTATAGGTATTTTCAACAAAAAAACATATATCATAAAACACTTACCTGTTCTACTGGTGTAACGATCCGAGTTGATGCGTCTGTAACAAAAAAAAAAAAAAGACAATATGTCATGAATATTGTTTAAATCTGATCAAATGAAATAATCAGACCGCTATATTTAGATTCGTGCCATTATAGAAAATAACTAAATTACTAGCTTTTAAAAACTAAATAAAAGTACCTCTTAATTTATCATAACTTGTGATAGTACCTACTTACAATTGAATTATACATCTTAAAAGTTAGTTACAATTTTGATTGATAACAGTTAAGAAATTACGTATAAAGGTCAATTTGATTAAAAAATTAACATAATTAAAGCTTGTAAAAATGTAAATTACAACTGTACATGTAAAACCTGTTCAAATCAATTCGAATGAGTTTAAACAAGAAAAAGGTAGTTTTTACTATAAAGGGTTTCTAGTCTAATGGATATTTTTCTTAGATAAAAGAATCAACAAAAGAACATAAAAGAACATGAGTAAAACTATTATTACAGGTGGCTGACAGGCTCGCATCTATTTACTATTTATACAAAATAAATAGCTAGAATATGTTCTTTTGTCAACTTACGTATATATTTATGTACTGCAGTATTCCCTTTAAACTCATTTTGTATTGCATTTTCGATCAATACGAAAGAATATTTAACTTCTATATTTTTCTATGAAAATTATAATCTTATATACAATTAATAATTTAACCTAACCATGATAGTAGTACAATACTACAATATTTAAAAAATTAAAATGATTTTTTGAACGTCAGTTTTCATTTTCTACTTACGAACAAAATAATTTTAACTTATAAAGTTCGAGATTTCGGGATTATACAGTGCAATAGTATGTATAATAAATATAGTGGAAAGGGTGCATCGTATGTTTATTATACAAAGTACAGGAACAGATTTTTGGCGCATTCGGTCGAATTTCCACTGGCCTCAGACAAGATGCGAGAGGAAGGAAAGGGACTGCCTATGTCTATATGTAGGTTAACGGTTGTTGGCAAAGAACCCAAGTCGAGTATTTATTTATAAAATGGTGGCAAAATCGTTTATGTTTCTCTCTCTCTCTCTCTCTCTCTCTCTATCTATCTACCTTTTACTTATATCACCGCTTTACCCATCCTAATAACAGAAAATATGTTGGTGGTGACCCGACGAAAATAATCCACAGCCGTCCGGAATTAGAGAAAGGACATGCTAGCGAGAGAGGGAGTGAGAGGATACGCCACCTTCGGACGTCCGTCCATCCAAGGACGCTACACGATATAAACCACATGGTGGCACAGAGGAAGTGAATAGGTAATTGTGGCAGAGATAGCGGTGGTAGGGAGGAAAGCAAAAGGGTTCCGGTGTCCGACGTTCCGCCCCCGCGAGTTTTAAATTTTATTTTCTCCTCGCCGCGGTCTGAACTACTACCGCGTGTATATTGTACACATCGACTGAGACCGCAGCTGTTTTAACTACACTATTAATATTATTATTATTATTATTATTATTATTATTATACCAATACGTTCGGTCCGTTACGTCGTACACAAAATCGTCCAAAACTGGCTGCTATAGGGTTGGTGTTATAACGCCTAAATACTACATTATATTCAGTTGCAGAGGTTTATGTATCCTTCTGCAATTCGTTCTTCCGGTACGATACCGAAACAGAACGGGACGTATATGATATAATAATTATGTAATCATACGTGATAACCGTGTGGTACTTACGATAGGTATTAAGCCATGACATTAGACACAGTATACATGCTATTGGTAAATATAGACATAGTGGTACGTAGTTTTTGGTGGGAATAATATTATAGTAATGGTATTGATATAAAAGCGGCGTGCATAAACATAACCGTTCGTCTTGGCCGTATAACGACGCTCCGATCTACTCTGCAGTTAACGGCCATATTATTTTCCCGACAACGACCCAAATCGATATTGTAATAGTAGTAATGATATAATATTGATAGTAAATATGAATTCGTCAACGGAAACGAAAATTAGTCACAGCGCCGCATTGAAGGGGTTGTGTCTACTGCCATCGTTATATATTATTATGTTAAATTTATACACTGCGTATACATAAAACGTACACATATTTCAATGAACTTATTATATAAATACACGTATACGCAATAAATATTCGATGGCGCTGCGCAAGTCGAGTATCGATGTACAATTCGTCCCGTTTGAATTTGCCATCGCAATGTGTAGTGGTTTATTTTTTTTTACGCTCCCACCCACTATTTGTACACAATAATATTATACTATTACTTACAGGGTACAGGTTTACGTTCTATACCAGCCATGGCCGTTTCACACGATTTTCAATCGAAATAATCTTTAACGATTTTATATAGATTATTTCATGGATAAAATATAGATCGTCATTCGCGTCAGTTTCTTAACGTTCTCACGTATATTCAAACACCGTAAGAATATTACGCTAAAAGTGAATCGAAAATACGATCACGATACTGCGGAGTTGAACATTTGGTATTATTTATTACATATATTTGAATAAGATGATAAATTCTTTATGAAAAATGTGAGTACCCATCGTCGCGACGGCACCGTAATTTAATGAAATCGTTGTCAGTAGCATTAGTGGGTAAGTACCATAATCATTTCACAAACCTAATTCAAATTAATTTCGGGTCCAGACTAAGCCCCTCCGAGAACATAAGGAATTTCGTGTAAATGAAAATCTAATAAGTATATATTATACATTTCAAAGTATACCAGTATTAATTGGTCACATTTTTTCCCAGCCATATTTTATTTTTTTATAATGTAGAATAGAATGAATATATTATGCGTGTTTTTTTTTTTTTTAATGTATGTCTTATACATTTATTCCAATGTTAAATTATACTTTTAAAATTAATGCAAATTATCCAAACACTATAAAAGTAGGTTCATCAGTTGAAGCCCAAATTAATCAGTTTTTTTAATTATAAAATGAGTTCACATATAAATTAAATACATATAAAATTGACTCTAAAATCTTATTTAAAAAAAAAAAAAAAATACTTTTTTTATTTATATTTTAAATACATTCACCTGAAATAAATTATAAAAATTTAATTTAAGATTTTCTAGTCGATTTTATAATATTTTCGTCTTAATATTCATAAAAGCGAATATCGTTTGAACGTTTTTAAAATGAAAAGAATAATTGAAAATGTATGATAACCGTCACAAAAACTGTTTTTTTTTTTTTTTTTTTGGTTAGAAACATGCCTTTTAAATTATTTCTTGTATTATACTGGTAACCATAAGTGTCATATTTCCAACATTTTTCGTTCCTTCACTATTACGAATTCTATTCTAAATCCCTTCTTTTCCGCTGGGACGACTTTGCGTAATCAAATTTTTAAACTTTAATACTTCCAGCCGGCTTTTATGTTAAACAATCCCCATTCATCCCACCCTAATGTTGACTAAGAAATATGGTACGTTCTTCACCACATCATTCAGCTCCGCCCTATTTCTACGCGAGCAAAAGTTACGTAAAATTTTTTTTATACTTTGATATAACTCAGTGGTTGATTTAGTACTCACAGATGTTTTAGGTGGTGTAAATAATGTTCTCACTATAAGTACTCTATGATTTTCATATTAATTCGATTTCTGAAAATGGATTTCAACACGTTTCAGATTTATTTTATTTATAAAATCCATTTAAGTACACACACAAATGTACATAGGTAATATTTTATATTATTTATATTATTTATATTAAATACAAGTTGTAGAATTCAGTATTAATATACTCCCGACTTGAATTTATTAATACTAAAAAAAATTAATTTTCCTTTTACCAGTTGCACTTATAGTTTTTGACTGTCATTTACACGTATATATTTCTTTGACATTTAATCTAAAATAATTGGACATTTAATCAGTGTTTATATACGATATAAATATATCTAAAGTCGTTGTAGGGCTGGTAAAAATCTATAAATTACGCAAATATGTACCTACCAACAGAACAGTGTTTACCGTGTGCTATTGTAATTATTTTCGTAGATATTTATTACCGAATGTTATGAATATTAATTAATTTACAATCAACAATAACAGTCGGATTTCAATGCACAATAACGGCAGGAATTTCCACTGGATGGTATACGAGACGAATGCGACCGCGCATTCGTTTTGTACTCGGGTTTGAACCGTAATGCCGAACTTGCAGTGCACCGAAATAATCATGTAGACGTGACCCAACGCGGGTCGGATAACTATTTTTTTACCGTATCCTGAGGGCCGAAGTCGCATAATACCGTCCGACATACTCGTGATATAATTTTTATGCGCGTAGTACAACCGAACCCGATAGCACTCGCGTAAGAACCACTTGAACTGCGACATAATAATACTAATGATAACAATAATATAAAAATCTCAACTGATATTTGACAGCGGACACCGCGTGCGATGTACTATTATGTAGTACGCGTAACGTGACCATAATATTTTTTGCTCAAGACGGAACACCTGAACATTTTAATAGGAAAACCATCTAATTTTGGGTAAAATGGCAACAGATAACCACAGATGAATGTAATTATAGAGTAAATTATTACTTTATTACTGGCTGGTTTTCTACATTTTTCGGGTCCGCAAATCTGCTTCGAAATATTCGGTTTGATTATTATATAACAACGGAGCTGTTGACACGTCTTGTTCGTGTTACTTTTAGTTTTAAAAATGGCTTTTCACATAGACGAATCAAACTGAATTTTTTCGCTACAGGCGTTACTGCCTGGCCAACATAAAATGTGCCGTACAATTATACAGAAACTTCCGTGTGAGAAATCATTAAAATAAAACGAATTTTAACGCGGGAACAGCGGGACACAAAGTTTTGAAATTGGGACTGTCCTGTCCAAAGCGAGACGTATGACGACGTTGAGCATGTACGGTTAATTGTTATCAATATCCGGTCTCCAACCGCGGTAATGTATGTTGAATGGGAGAATACATTTGTCTAGCGTTACGTGCTAACCGCGGTATTACATAAGATATCTT